CTTCAAGGTGGGTACCTCTACTCATCAGTGACCCACTGTCCTTGATGTTACTGGCTCCTGACCACTCCACCTGATAGGACTTTCCTGTTCTGTATTTCCTGGGATTCCGTAATACTGGTTTCTATTCCCCTGCCCCCAATCCTTGAGTCATCATCATCATCCATGAGATCCCAGCCATGCTGTTGCCCTTCTCCCTGGTCCTCACTGTGCTTCTCAGCAGGGATGCTCCAGCATCCACAGACAGCATGGACTCTGCACTCTTCCCCTGGAAATGTTTGCTGTTCCATCCACTCTGGCACATGCACTTCTCTGAGATTTTTGATACCCACTCTTCTACGGCCAGAATTAACCAGCCTAGATTTTCTTTGTTCTGCAGTGTGGGCTAGCCTCTGACCAGGTCCAGGAAGCCATCCCTGGAGCACTGCAGTATATCCTGAGGATCTGGCGTATGTTTGTTCTGGTTTCATTCTGTTGCTGTGATAAACCCTCTACCAAATGCAACTTAAGGGAGAAACATGGTCTTGCTCAGTGTTCTATTGCTGTGAAGAGACACAATGACCATGGCAACTTTTATAAAAGAAAGCATTTAATTGGGGCTTGCTTACAGTTTTAGAGGTTTAGTCCATTATCCTCATGATGAGAAGCATGGTGGTACCCAGACAGATATGGTAGCTGAGAGTTCTACATCCAGATCCAAAGGCAACAATCTGGGGTTGGGATGGGTTTTCTAAAATGTCAAAACCCACCCCCAATGACACACTTGCTCCAATAAGGCCATACCTACTCACACCAGGCCACACTCCTAATCCCTCTTAGAAATTGCCACTCCCTGATGATGAAGCATTCAAATACATGAGCCTATGGGAGCATTCTTATTCAAACCACCACAACCATGGTCTTGTGTAGTTTTTAACCCTGGGCATCTGCCAAGGCCTGTGCCCTTCTCCCTGGACATCCTTTTTATGCTTGGCAAATAAGAGTCACCCATGCTTCTCCATGGACAGAGTGGACATATTTCATATCAGATATCCTTTGACACATGTACTGAGCCTTTACACACACCCTTCACTTTTAGCTTTAGAAGTTCTGGACTTCCTGTTTCATGCAGTATGGCCCAGCCTCTGCAAGCCACTCCTGGAGCATAAGGGCATTGTCTCCAGAAAATTCTGGCTGTTTGCTGACTACTGAAAGTTAGTGTATCCAAACATGGGGAGAGAGCTGAGTGACAGAATGTCTGCTTCACAACCATGAGGACTTGGTTTGATCCCTAGCGACCGTGTAATAGAGCCAGGTGTGGTGCTGTGTGCTTTCCCTGTCAATACTAAGAAAGCAGAGGCAGGAGAACCCTGGAGTCAGTGGCATGACTGTCTATCCTGCTTGGTGAATCCCAAGGCTTTTTGAGTCCTTGTTTAGTCAATGCTACTGTGACACAGTCCTAAGAAAGTATAAAAATGTTTTTCTTCTCAAATCTGAAACTGTGAGTTTAAATACTTCCTTCTAAGACTTGATGGTATCACATTAATATTGCTTTCTTTCAATCACCTTCATAAATCCCTGTTTCTGCTTTAGCAAAACAGTTTCCTCTCATCAAACTTCTAACAGGATTGATGCATATTGTATCTGATCCACCAAGCTGCTGAGATTGTGGCCTTTGGTTCACAACCACAAAGCCAGTTCTCGGCTCACAAGGGCTCACGTTCATGTCCACCAATCTTCCAGCAGGGGTACTGAGTGAGAAAGATTCCAGCCATTAAAGAACAAATTCAAGCCTTAGGAGTGGGAGGAAGGAGAAAGTTGGGGGAAACCACAGTGATGGAAGAAACGGGTGGCAGAAAAGGCAGAGAGGAGAAGGAAGAGGAAGTTGGTTGAAGGGACAGGAGAGGATGTCCCAAAACAGCCCACCTTAAAGCAAAAGTTTTGGGATGAGAGAAGGGAAGGAGGTTTTTCTTTTGTAACACTTCTGCATTTTTTACTATAATTATATGGCAAACTTGTTAAAATTTCCTTTAAAATTATAATTTTAGATTTCAAGTCTACACACACACAGAATATTTATGTCCATGCCCCACTAGGTCTTTCCTAATTGTTTGTGCAGTCTGCTGAACAGAACAGCTCTAGGATATTGTGTCTTCTCTTGTTGTTAGTTTGGGAGACCAGGGGCTGTAAGTGTCCTGGGAAACAACTGCCTGAGGAAGAGGAGACAATCAGGGCTTCGAGAATTTCAGACAGAGATCTCTTCTTAAGAATGAGTTAGGGGTGTGGCATCTGATGCTCAACATTGCTGTGTGAAGTGCCCCAGTGGGAACATGGTGAGTACTGTGCTCACAGGTGGCAGCTCCCTTCCCATGACAAGTTGCAGCGTAGTCCAGGAGGCCTTTCCTGAACTTGAGGCTCCATGTGAATTTACCACGTGTTCTGTGATACCTCCTTTCCCTGTGTGGTCAGTAGATTTTCATTTTTAGGAACAGATACTATCTGACAGATTTAATTCCTCAACACTTGATAAAATTCACTAACAGTACTTGTGAGATAAATCCCCCTGGTGATATGTTGTGCGTCTGAGGGGTCCTCCCACTCCAAGACAGTCAAACATGGCATGGAAATATGGATCCAGAAGCTGAGTGACATCTTGACTAGAGGCTTCTCTTTCTACCCTTTTGTCCTTCAGAAGGATTCTGGGTGTCATAGAACCATGAGTCCTGTGACTTTCTGATCCTTCTTTGTACCTCACCTGCTTGTTTTTCTCACAGATACACATTCTCTTAGTTGTGACGTCATTGTCAAGGCTGGTACCACACCTGGACAGCCCTGGTGTGAAGGACAGTGCTCAGTGGATGGAGATCCTTTCCTTCAATATAAGGACAGCAAATTCACACGTTTGGGTGACCTGGGAAATGCAGCAAATGGGACTAAAGTGTGGACATATATGATCCAAAAGCTGGACTATTTGTGGAAAGAGCTCAGGACAATGTTGGCTGACAATAAAAAAGAGATTACCAAGATCAGTGGTAAGTGTGGGATCGAGTACTGGGGCAGAGACAGGTGGCAAGAGAGAGGAAGGGGAGAGCACATGTGGGAATGGGATGGTGGTTGTATTTGTGTGAGAGAGTTGAGCATTGGTCCAACCTTGGAAGCATGTGGTACCCAGTGGGTAACAAAGAACAAATCATGTGGAAATGATCCTGGCTCATAACCAGTGGGAAAGTCCTGACCTTTGGAGAAGTGATGGATCTATGAGAGTGAAGCATGATGGTATTGTGTGGTTCACAGGTCAGCCCACTTTACAGGCCACCATGGTTTCTCAGTATGAACACGGACAAATTGTTGGTGCCTCCTGGAGATTTAACATCAGTGGAATGTACACCTTCATCCTCAATACAATGAATATGAATTGGACACTGATTGATCATGAAGTTAGTGGTATCATGAATACATGGAAGGGTGATGAACACTTAATAAAAGATCTCAAGACAATATCCACAACAGACTGCAGTTATTGGCTCACGGAACTTTTAAAGTACCAGAAGGAAAAGCCAAGTAGGTATTACCTAGATCATCAGGGGCAACTCCATTTCATTTGATATACTGGGTGGGAGATTTCTTGGTTGTCTTCATGTCTGAGATCCAGTGATGAAAACAAGGACAAAGGGAAAGGAAGCTATTTGCAGATGAGGCGTATGAGGCGTGTATGTGTGTGTAATAATTTAATCACCATGCATTCCTGCGTTGATGGCAATTTTTTGCATCATTCATTCTATTTCTCACCCTCTTCTATCTCATTAATTGTTCTCTCATTGTGGTTCTCACTGATCAATACAGTCTGAGCATCTTGTATTTCCTGACCTTTCCCCCATTCTAGACTCACTGTTGATTTTCATCTCACCTGATCTGTCTTCTTCCCTGGCACCATCTTCACAGGTGAGCTTCTCTCCTGCCAGAGGAAAGATGAGGCCTCATCATAACCTTGCTTCCCCAAACATAGTTCCATGAGTCTTTGAGGACAGAGGACATGCTTCCTCTCCCTTCCAAATCAGGATCCACCTAAACAGGTGTTTCATAGCAACAGGGGTGGAACTCTGTGTGTCACTGAATTGCATGAGCACCAAGAAACTAAAGTGAAATCTCCTTAGATCTGAGGTCTGGTCAAAGACTCAACTGTGTTTCCACTTCAGCCTTGCCAACTGCTGCTCCAGATGTGGTCCAGCCTTCGTCCATGGCCATCAAGACCAACATCTCTGTCCTGCTGATAATTCTCATGTGCTTGCTCCTGAATATTCTTCTCTGAAGAGAATACCAGGTAATTACAGGTACTGAGGGCAGTGTTGGGAGTGCAGTAAGAAACAGGTGGGTGAGGAGCAAGGACAAAATCCCTGAAGTCCTGATCTTGTCCCTCAACTGTATCATCTTGTTGAGAAGGAGGCAGGATACCTGATGTTCATGTCACCTACTAGCAATAACATGTGCATGTTCGTCACAGGACAGCAATCATATCACAGACCAGTTGAGAATGAGGAGGGAACACAGCAGGTGTTTGATCAGAGCAGGTTCCTAATCAGGAGGGTCCTGTGATGCAGATGTGCACAGAGCAGGAACACAAAAGAACATGCTAGTTCCACTTAGGGTGTAAAGGGAAGAGCATTCCTTCTTGCAGACAAAAATTAAGAGATATAAATAAAAAGATGACCCAGTGGCAAGACCACCTGCTGCTCATGCATCAGACCAGAATTCTATTCCTAGAACCCACATGGTAGTTCATGACTATACAACTCTAGGTCCAGGAGAACCTGGCCTTTCCTCTTCACCGAGCCCAGGTATTCACACAATGCACATACAGACATGCAGGCTCACATTCATACACACAAAATAGAATTGAATCAAGCAGCAGCAGCCTTCAGTACCCCTGGAGCAGTGTCCCCACTGGAGACAGAAGGGACTGAGATGCTGATGTGGCCTACTTCTCCCATCTGGGCTTCTCAGATGGACAAAGTGTGGCAGGGACAGTCACATCCACACCTGTGTGTGATACACTGAAGCTGAGAGATTTTGGAGAAGAAAGTTGGATAGAGGTTCCCCCCCCTACTCTTCCAGCTGCTCTCATCAGCCTCTGAGTCAGGAAGCAGAGCTAGTCATCACCACTTTATTCTCATCTCCAGGCCTGAAGCAGGGCCTGGGGCTCTGGGACTTGAGAAAAAAGGAGGAAGACAGTAGGGGATCCCAGATGGAGAGCCCAGGGGTGATGGAGGAGAGAACTGAAGGACCCTCAGTGAGGGTGGCTGTGGGGTGGTGATGACTGGTACAGGGCACCCAGGAAAACTGACCGAGGCTTTCCTCAGACCCTTCAATAGATGTGTTTCCTTGCTGCAGGTTGAAGATGCTCCAGAGAAGTCATGAGAGTTCATCTGGTGCCACCACTATCCCTTTCCATCAGCCTCAACCAGATGAATCATGATGCTGCGGACACAGCATTTCATGGTCTTCACTCTGTGTAGTTGCTTGGGCCCTTTCTTATCACCTTGTACTCTTGGTGCTCCTGGGTAAAATTTGTCCTTAAAATGGAACTACTTGAACTAGAGATGTGGCTAGTACCCATTCCTAGCATAGGAAACAGGGTAACCCGATCTCCTTAGCAGAAATGTGTAGTTTTACCCCTGTGTGTATAACTGACCTGTATCTAGGTCAGACAGACTAGGAGGACTCCTACACTCCCTAAGATATTTGGCTGGCAGTTAAATACTGTTAATTATTGATTTTGTAATAGATATATATATTATAGCCAAACCTATACTATGCAGCGTTTTTTTAGAACAAAATAAGAAATGTATCTGTTATTTTAATATAACTATATATGATACAAAGGGATACTACATAAGTGAAAAGATAATATTTTAAGGTATTATTGCTATTATATGTTAGTTTCTGTGACATGCACTAGGTCCAGCAATGGCCACATGCACACTGGGGAAAGAGAACCTGGAAGCTGCTCAGTCCGACAAGCTGGCTGTCCCTGCAGTGACAATCTGGCAGTGAAAGGCAGAATGTCCTGTGAGCTGGTGCTGCTGGTTCCACATTCTCCTGGTGCAGGTCTGGGTCAGTGCCGCTCTCCACTGTGTCAGAGAAGCTTCTTCTGCAATCCAGACCTGAGATGGAAGGAGAGTGAACTCACACTGGTTTCCTCTGACTGCGCAGGGACACTTTGCACACGTGCACTAGCACTCACACACACACACACACACACATGACACATACACACGGGACAACATAAGAACCCTAAAGTATGGAGAGTTCACTGTTGAAAACAATATTTTTTTTGAGGTACAACCTAACTACATAGTACCGCCTGGAATGGAACTCACTCTGTAAACCAGGCTGATCTGGAAACTCAGAAATCTACCTGCCCCTACATCCCCAGCACTGGGCTTAAAGGTGTGTGCATCACACCTGACTGATTCTTGGATTTTGAGCCCTTAGGTTGTGCTACTAAAGTATCACTAATGTAAGATGCACTATTTCTCCCTAATTAATTTGTAAACTACAGTGGCATTAAGTAGACTGGCCATTCTCAGATATCTCAGGCACCACTAAAGGAAACCTGTAACAGCTAATCCTAAGAAAGAGAAATTGAGGACCAGTTGTTTAGTTGAAGTCACTGGTAATGTTTGTCCTTTATTTTCATTACTGGAAGCCATCTGATTGCTGATTTGGCATCTTTAAAAAATGCCATCCTTCTACTCAGATGTCCATGAACTTTTTCCTTGTGATTGTCTTGGAGTTGGTCATGTTTCTACAAATGTGTGCATGGCTGCATTGTATGACATTTACATAAAAATGTTCAAAGAATTTTCTGGTAATTTTACTTCTCAAGGTTTGTAGCAATATGTATTTCATTTGTGATAAAGTAACTGTAATATCCTCTTTGTTCTTTGTCAATCTGTAAAAGTCCTATAGGGTGGGGGGATTGGAGGGTATTGATATTTTGTTTGTGTTTTAACAAGTAAAGCATGCCTGAAGATCAGAGTGCAGAGCTAAGCCACTAGAGGTCAAGGAGTATTGGCACACACCTTTAATCTCCGAAGATGAAGGACAGAGGCAGAGGAATCTCTGTTAGTTCAAGGCTACCCTGGGCTACACGAGATTGAATCTGTCTAAAAGAAAAACAGGGCTCCCACAAAGTTGACCCCAGAACTTGGGATCACAGGTCTTTAATCCCAGCACTAGGGGGGGACGAGAACAGAATGACATGGCTGGGTGGGGAGAGGAATAGAAGGCGGGAGGAGATAGGAGCTCAGTGCAGTCTGAGGAGCAGTGCAGTCTGGGACAGTCAGTCTGAAGCGGTCTGAGGATGTAACCTGAGGATGGGATCTCCCGTTTGGTCTGAGCACTGGTAGAGACAAGAACTCTCTAGTGGCTGCCCCTTTGCTTCTCTGATCTTCAGCGTTAACACCTATATATGACTCTGTTTTTATTATTAATAACAATTTGAATTCATATTACATCTGGCACCCAGATGTTTGGGGTATGAATTCATGAAACAGTCATTAGCCTATGGCTTTGCAGCCACATGCATAGGCCAGAGCTGAAGTAGAAGGGTCTTCTTTCTATGTGTTGTTTTCATTGGTTGAATAAAGAAAACTGCCTTGACCTTTCAATAGGTCAAAACTTAGATAGCCAGAATAGACAGCACAGAATGCTGGGAGGAAGAAAGCAGAGTCAGAGAGAGCCACCATGGAGCCAGCCGCCAGCCACCAGCCGCCAGGTCAGACATGCTGAATCTTTCCTGGTAAGCCACAACCATGATAGACATACAGATTATTAGAAATGGGTTGAATCAAGATGTGAGAGTTAGCCAATAAGAAACTAGAGCTAATGGGCCAGACAGTATTTAAATGAATACAGTTTCTGTGTAATTATTTCGGGTATAAGCTAGCCGGCCATCGGGAGCTGGACGGGAAGAGGTCTGCCTCTCCTTTTACTACACAGAGCTATAGGCAGTCAGAGACATCACCATACCAGCTAGGTTTTTCTCTTTCTCTTTCCTGATGGACATTCCCTGGAGCCATTCTCAGGCTGCTACCAAACCAGGTAGCTGCCTTGAAATCCAGTCAGGTTTCAAACTGTTCTGTGAAGCAGCAGTGAGCCTCACATCTTCATCGTCATCATCAGAACATTGGTGAAAAAACTGGGAATTCTTAGAGAAAGGAATTAGTTAAAGCATAGAGTTTTCCCACATTAAAATATGGGACAATAGAGAAATTAGGTCTCTGTATGATGACACAGTGCATGATTTAAAAATGGAGCAATTAAATGAAGGGATAATCAACTTAATCGGGATTGGCATACTGTGTATTATCATTTTGATAATCCTTGCTATTGCTTTAATAATTTTTGGTTAATGTCTTAAAAAATACTTTGTGAAAAAGGGTGTTTGGTTTGACTACCAAAATACAAGTCTTAGAAAAACTTAATTCAAATGTGATGAGAGTAGGAGCAGATCCAGGCAGGGATATTTGCCGAAGCAAGACTGGGGCAGTGACATAGGCTGGAGCAGGCCTGAGGCAGTGAGCTCCACGGGAGTGGGAGCAGATCCAGACCAGGGACATTTGCAGAAGCATGACTGGGCCAGCAACCTGGGCTGGAGGTGCAGGTACAGGGGAACAACCACTGAGCCACTGGGCCAGAGCCAGAGATGACTGCGGGTCCTGGCATGAATCTGGGACCTTCGAGGGAATAGACCTGAGCCAGGACCCATGTGAATCTGGGCATGAGTCTGGAACCTCCAAGGAACTAGGCCTGAGCCAGGACCTCTGCGGGTCTGGCTTGAGTCTAGGATCTTTGATGGAGTAGGCCTGAGCCAGGTCCACACCCAAGTCTGGGACTGAAAACAGGGCATTCCCATAACAATGATTTTTCTAAGCATAATTCAAATCAAATAGAATTTGCCTCCCTTCTGTATTATGCAGAAGGTGCCAAATGCAGGCACTGACCAGCCAAGGGAGATTCAAGGTAACCCTTTGCCGTCAGGGAAACTCCTTAAGGAGTCTTCTCAAAGGCTTTTCTGCCAAATCTGGTTCAGTACTTTACTGTAACCACAGAGGAAACACTTTCCTAGAGCAATTGAAGAATGTAATACCTATTGCAAGAAGCCATGCTGTTGTAGATAATAGAACATCTATAGAAGAGAGTAGAAAACAATTTAGGAGATACAACAAAGCAAATATTTTGGCAAACTTGTGTGAACGGACAAAGAACAAAATTAAAAATACAAATAAATGACTTTGTCACTGAATGTCTGATACACATGGGTAGGATGTAACAATAATTGCACTAGAATCTTAGCATCCAAACTGGCATGTTCAGAAGCTAAATGTTCAGCTTTTAGGGATTAGAACTTTATCTTAGGTAAAGCATAGCATGAGAATGTATAGGGGCAAGAGGAAGGAGAGGAAAATTAAAACCATATGTGGCTAACATAGCAATGACGTGATTTGTGACAACAATGGAATACTCAGAGTAGCATTTTTTCAATCTGAAAGAAAACATAAAATAACATATGTCCCTGGGAAAAATTTTAGAAGGTATCATAAAGAACAGTTACCAACCATTCAGGTTGTACAAGAACAGGGCACAACAGCTGCTGATCTTCCAAAGGCATCAACTGTCCTACCTTCAAAATAGTTGACAGACAAACCTGTATGGGCTGTGCAATGGAAGTTAACAATGGAGAATGTAGTAAGGAGCAGTGGTGGGCTGCCTCCTGCCACCCGGCTAGCATATGCCTCAAAATAATTACACGAAAACTGTATTCCTTTAAACACTGCCTTGCCCATTAGTCCCAGCCTCTTATTGGCTAATTCTCAAATCTCGATTAACCCATTTCTAATAATCTGTGTAGCACCAAGAGATGGTGTCTTACCAGGAAGGATTCTAGCCTACATCCATCTGGGGTCAGAGAATCATGGCAACTGCCTGACTTGGCTTCTTTCTCCCAGAATTCTGTTCAGTCTACTCCGCCTACCTAATTTTCTGTCCTATTAAAGGGTCAAGGCAGTCTCTTTATTTAACCAATGAAATTAACACAAAACAGAAGACTCTCCCCCATCAGGAGATATTGTAGGTTTTAGATCAGGTGGCACAGGAACAACAAAAGGACCAGAATATTGAAGAATCAACCAGCGCTTAGAATTCTCTTATATTTGTTGTTAAAAAGAAATCTGTAAAATGGAAATTGGTAACAGATCTAAGAGCTGTCAACAAGGTAATTCAAAATGGACCCTCTGCAGTCTAAAATTCTTTTACCTTCCCTATTGCCTAAAGTAAGGCCTCTTATGGTCACTGATATTAAAAATTGTTTCTTCACTATACCTTTACAAGAAAAGACACAGAGAAATTTGCCTTTATAGTTCCTACTTACAATAATCCTCAGCCTACTAAGAGACATCAAGAAAATTCTCCCACAGGAAATGTTAAATAGATCCATCTTGTGCCAATACTTTGTACGGCTAACGTTGGAAATGATATGGAAACAATTTCCTCTAGTTCAATATTATATGAGCAGCAATTTGCTCTCTGATTCTAATACAGATATTTTGAAAAGAATGTTTGAAGAATCAAAAGATACTTTGAAAAGAATGTTTGAGAAGCAAAGAATATTTTTGCCTTCTTTTTGATTACAAATTGTTCCTGAAAAATATAAAGAGGAGATTTTATTTGAAATCTTGCTTTTACTGATAGCCATGTTATGACCTAAAACTGTGTCTTGCTTTGTGGTTTACATTACAGTGACTGAAGACTTTAGCAAGATGCTTTGGGTATAATTTATTTTAAAAGTTTCTGTTATGGCTGGAGTGATGGCTCAATGATTAAGAGCTTACTTTTCTTGCAGAAGCTCCAGGTTCTATTCCGAGCACCTACTAGTATCCCACAACCATCTGTAACTCCAGGTCCAATGGATCTCATGCCTTATCTGGCCTCCAATGGCATCAAGCACACATGGAATGCACAAATACATGCAGACGAAACATTCAGACACATAACGTAAAAATAAATCTCAAAAAACCTTCCACAAAGTTTCAAGTATAAGACTACAATGATGTCTCCGAGGCAAAGGCACTGGCCATGAAATCCTTATGATCTGGGGTGG